TTTTTGTTGCTGTTGCCATTTGCTTGTTGGCCGTGGCAAGTGTTTCGCAATGTGCGCGGCGGCTGCTGTTGCTGCTGCTGCTGCTGCAGCAAATGAAATCATCGCTGCGGCAGTTGTTGTTGCTGTTGTTGTTGCTGCTGCTGCTGCTGCTGGCATTGATGTTGGGAGGGAAATTCCTGTTCCACTTTCTATTATGGGAGTAACGTCGCTGCCGGCGTCGCTGCTGACTTCGCTGTCAACGCTCGTTGTAATAAAAGCAGCGACAGCAGCAGCAGCAAAAGTAGCAAAAGAGCACGTAGCATTTAACTGTGTCACCGTGGAAAGTGGTTTCACATCGTCTGTCCCACTGTCCCGCTGTCCCACTGTCCCGCCGTCCCACTGTTCCGTCTGTTTGTCGTCTCGTGTGCCTGTTTGTTCTTGTTCTTTAAGCACATGTCACACACACACACACACACACACACACACAGTAATGCGCGCACATATAGATATGTATGTATGTACATGATCCAATCAGAAACCAACTCAAGCTTAGACTTATTGGGCGCAGCGTTTTTAGGGTACGCACAAACCAACCTAGTTGGTTGGACTTGTATTTAATGAGCAACGCAAAGGGTCTAATTAGAGCTAAAATGTTCATCTGCTATGCTGCTATATTTAGATTCAAACCGCTTCTATGCTGATAAAAATAAACAATAGATAAGCATATTAAATAAAAGTATTACATAAATAAAAATAGTAATTCGTTATGCAGCTATGCATTCATCTAGTAACATTTGCAAGTTTGTAGAAATCAAATCCAATCAACTCCCATTCAAACGCCAATTGGAACTCGCAGCTCTCAACCTGGAAATCCATTCAAAGCTAGCTTCGCCTTATTAGAACCAACATACAAATTTGCAAGCCCAACTAGAACGTGTGCCTGATTGGACACGGCGCCTACAGAGGAACGTTTTGGGAATGGTTCATTGATTTGCGGTCTAATGAAAGCAAGGCATGCCAAAGCGAAGACGCAAAACATAAGCAAAAACAAAACCAAACGCAAACACAAAAACAACAACAAAATCACAGCTCGACCGACTGACTCATTTTCTTTGAGCATGAATGGGGGCAAAAGCACAGTGAAGGGGCGTAGAGGAAGGGGGCCTCCGGCGAGCGGGTGTGGGGTATTGGGAAGAGGTACGACCTCATCTTGATGCCACTAGAAAACCGGTAGGTGAATGCTGTTAAGGTCAAATCGGTTATGCGAGTGTCTGCTGCGTGCATATGATTAAACCAACAACAACAGCTAAACAAAAGATTTATCAAAATTCAATTTGAATTTGAATTCGAATTCGAAAGACAGGCAGCGCTGGCGTCGACGTCGACGTCATTAAGGGCTCTCAAATTGTTCCAATTATGTCGCGGCGCTGCTTAGGCAGTGCGTGCGTCTGTATGTGCATGTGTGTGAATGCATGGCTCTCTCTCTCTCTCTCTGCTTGTGCGTGTGTGTGTGTGTGCACGCTCTCATTTTGGCAAGCTACGCTGAGATTTGTTTTTGCTTTTCATTTTAAAGTTCGCCAATTGGGAGCAGCGCACGAAAATGCGGGACATCCCAAGCGTGCGTCGCAGTTGGCGTCGCTGTCGCTGTCGCTGCTGCAGCAGCAGCAGCTGCTGCTGTTGTCGTTTGACCCAGTTGCTCTCGAAAAACTTGACCCAATGACTCCATTGGGCAGCTAACTAGCTTAACTAGCCAACTATTATAAATACTCTCGCATTTTTAATGCCCAAGCGCCAAAAATAAAAACTAAAATAAAGAAGAAACAACAGCAACAAAAACACCTAAGCAACTCATAATTAACCATACGCAAAGGCAACAACTATTGGTGTGCGTATGTGCGTATGTGTGTGCCTGTGTGTGCGTGTGCTTGTATTTGCTCCCTTTGACTCCACTTAAAGCAAAGAAGAGGCAGAAGAAGCAGGCGCAAAATCTAATGCGCGAACCTGAGACACTCTAACTGTTCGATCTGATAAGATTGTGCAAGCCTATAAGACTTATCATGTTTGACTTATTGGAATTGCTTTATTTGCGAATTCTCTGTTTGGAATTTCTTTATTTGCGAATTCTAGTAGAAATTCGGCTATCTTGTAATATGCAGCAATTGAGAACCATTTGGGAAGTTGGAAATTCATTGAATTTAACCGAAGGCGAAGATTTAATGCACTCTATAAATTATTTATTAAAATTGAAATAAAAATAAAATATTGCACATGGCATATGTATGAAGTATGCAAATGTGAAATAGAAGTTGAGCTAACGATTTTTGTAATGCGGGAAAATTTAGAAAAAAAATCCTATTTAAACGTGATGACCATTGAATGCTTTGCATTAGCAAAATGTTTGTATATGAGAAATATTATATTTTAATATTAATTGCATAATTATTTACTATAAGCAAGATTCTGCTTCAGTGATATCTCTGGCTCGCACTCGCTCCAGCTATCCAAATAAATTTGGAAGATTTTGTAATTCTAGCTTTAAGAGCAGTTCATTTCTGGATATCTGAACATAAGTTGTGGGAATCGAATGCTTTATTCAATGTGGATTTTATGCATATTTCGTTATTTCTAGATAGTTGAGATTCATAGAAAGTTTATTTGATTTTTCATACAAAGATAAAACAACGTATTTGTATATAGTTTTCTTATATGTAGATCATTTTGGTTGTCTTTAAATTTACTGAGATATTTGCCAATGAATTGAATATCTTTATATGTATCCAGATAAATAATTAATGATACATCTATATGCTTTTATATTTCTATGTCTATGCATACATTTATCTATCCACATATATCCATATATATGTATCTGCATATGCCATCTAAAATATGTGCTCTTCAAGTTCAACTTTATAACAAATTAAATGAATTTCTTGTGAAATGTGCAACAAAAGTATTTAAAAAACTTTGAATACCCGTCCAATGGCAAGGGCATCAAATAAACCAAACCGAATGAAACCTGTTATAATGAATAAAACCTTTTTATATTGTAATTATTTTTTACATATTTCGGCTTTTTTTTTTATTATATATTTTTTTGAGGGCGCAAAAGTGAAGAGATTTACATAAAAGTTGGCACTCGGATTATTTAGGCCTAAAAACTAAAACTTTTGAAATGCCCCCAATTTGCATGATGATGTACTCTATATGATGTATGTGTGTGTGTGTGTGGGTGTGTGTGTGTGTATGCACATATGTGTTTGGCTTTGCTTGGGAGTCTTGTCTGCTCGATTGTCCCTGGCTTTTGTGAACTGGCTAATGCTAATGCAGATATACATATATTTATACATATGTATATATATGTATATGTATATATGTATATACACTTATATATCTCAATATACATATATCTACATTCATTTCAAGGTCGCAATTTGTTATGTTAAAATTCGTTTTGGTTTGTGAGGCTTCAAGCAAAAACAAAAACAAAAGCAAAAGCAAAAGCAAGAGCAAAAAAAAAAAAACAGAAAAAAAAAAACAAAATCCATCCCAACTTTGACCTATTGAAGAGACGCAGCTGTAGACGCGCTCAGACTTAGAATGCAGCTGTATCTCAGTAAATGTATCTGTAGCTTGTAAATGTAACTGTAGCTGAGTAACCACATGTATCTGTGTGTGTGTGTGTGTGTGTGTGTGTGTCTCTGTGCCCACCTGCCCGACCAAGCCAATTGGCCTCAATAACTTTGGTATTTTCATGCAACGTGGCGAACGCCCAAAAATGGCTTTTTTTTTGCAGCCCAACTTAACTGTACATAGACAGATATATATACAACATATATATACATACATATAGCTATACATATCTATCTACACCCATATCCATATATCTCTGTATAACTCTACATGTTTTGGCTTGTTCTTGGCCAATTTGTTGCATTGGCTCTAAACATTGGTCAAAACCTCTCCAGATGCTGACCCCGATTCGATTGCTTTTTGTTTCGATGCCCGCCCATAGGCAGCCAGGCGGGCATATTAGTTGACTGGCTTTGCGTGTTCGCCGCCCTTCACCTGGTTTTCCACTATGGGAAGCTAAACATTTGCTGAACTTCGAGTTGGAAGAGAGAAACTTTCTACATTATATATTGATATATTGATATACTCTATAGTCGTGTATAGCCCAGACTTATGAATACCATTCGTTATGGCTATGGTCTTGGAACTAGACAGCTTAGCTTGTATACGCTATGGATGGGAGCTCTAAATATTTAAATACACAACGTTTTTAGTATGTTGCCTGAACTAGTTCACTAGTGGAACTGGTTCATTTCGGGAATTAGTTCTTGTATAAATTTATTCATTTTGTGTTTCATTCTTATTTCTGTGCGCTTTTCATAGTTATTGTTGATAATCTGTTAGTTCTTTAACTAGTTCACAATTTGAATTTATACATTTTGTGTTTCATTCTCATTGGTTTTCGCTTTCCATAGTTCATATTGGGAAGTAGCTAATTCTGGTTATAAATTCATTTTGAAATTTATTTATTTTCATTCATGCTTCATTTTCATTTGTTTAAGAACTAGTTCATTTTGGTAACCTGTTAATTTTTAAATTTATACAGTTTGTGTTTCACTCTCATTTGCTAGCGCTTGTGTTGAGAAGTATTTCATTTTGAGAACTAGTTCATTTTGAGAACTAGTTCATTTTGCGAACTAGTTCATTTTGCGAACTAGTTCATTTTAGTAACTAGTTCATATATTTAATTTATTCTTATTTGACTCTAAGTATATACGAAAAAATCAATAACAATAGCAACAAATATGTTCCCTCTCTTTCCATAACCTTTGTGAACTAGTTCCAAAGTAGTTTAACGCTCTAGCTCAGCAACTACAAGAGCTAAAGAGCTGAAATTTTGTATGCAACTGAATCGTACCCTTAGCCACAAATCTATATATATAAACTTTGTCCAACTGGATATCCTTCGCTATACTCCTCTAATCTCGGCCCTCTCCTCACTCTTGCAGATGGCCGAAGCAGGGATAAGCACAGCAGCCAGCGGCATGGAGCTGGCCCTCAAAGACACCAATCACAATGTGGCTGGCCTAATCGTGGACATGACCCCGACGACGGCCGCCCTGCTGCACCACAATGCGCTGGCGCTGCGCAGCCTGAAGGAGGCGGCCAACGAGACGGATCTGCAGGAGTCGCCGCGTTCACTGGCCACGACACCGACGCCGACGCCAACAAATCTGAGCACGGCGCCCCACTCGCCGCCCATGACATTCCGTTGCGAACGCTGCGAGAACTTTGAGACGAGCTCGCGGGCGTCGCTGCTGCTGCACGTGGTGCAGTGCCTGGCCGGGCAGGTGGTGGCGGTGCGGCTGAAGAGCGAGCAGAGCGACGAGCCGGAGAACATGAGCGTCAGTCACATGGACAGCTGCAAGCAGGAGCTGGCCACAACAGAGGCATCTGCTGCATCGGCCGCGGCAGCGGCTGCGGCAGCAGCAGCGGCAGCGGCGTCAGCGTCAGCATCGGGAACTGGCGCCGGCTCGAGCTCCTCGGCCAGCTCCTCGCCGGCGGGCAACTCGTCGTCGTCGTCGTCGCGCAAGGTCTTCGAGTGCGACGTGTGCAACATGAAGTTCTCCAACGGCGCCAACATGCGCCGCCACAAGATGCGGCACACGGGCGTCAAGCCGTACGAGTGCCGCGTCTGCCAGAAGCGCTTCTTCCGCAAGGATCACCTGGCGGAGCACTTTACGACGCACACGAAAACGCTGCCCTATCACTGTCCCATCTGCAATCGCGGATTCCAGCGCCAGATCGCGATGCGCGCCCACTTCCAGAACGAGCACGTGGGCCAGCACGATCTGGTCAAGACGTGTCCGTTGTGCAGCTATCGCGCCGGCTCCATGAAGTCCCTGAGGATACATTTCTTCAATCGGCATGGCATCGACCTGGACAATCCGGGTCCGGGTGGCACCTCCTCGCTGCTGCTGGCCCTCGAATCGCAGGCGTCGGCGGCGGCCGCAGCAGCGGCAGCGGCAGCAGCGGCCGCAAGCTATGCACAGCCCCAGGTGGGTCAGGTGGGTCAGCCGACGCTGGCGCCGGCCCAGGTGGGGCAATCGCAGGTGGCGGCCAGCCATCAGAGCGATAGCGGTGAATCGATGCGATCGTTGGAGAATGCCACGCCTCCCATGCACTTTCTGACGCCCCACGTGGAGATCTCAACGCTCAGCGAGAGCGGCAATACGGAGCTGTTCAATGTAAGCGCCATCTACAGTTCAAGTTTCCCATTCACATGCGATCCATCTTTGGCTCATGGGCTTTTAGCTTATTTGCGTTTTGCGTGAATCTTTTCTTCAACAGGGCAACAACAACAACAACAATAACAACAACACAAATACCAACAACAACAACCACTGCAGCAACAGCAACAACAACAACAACAACAACAACAGTAGCTCAACTGAACCGGATTCAAAGGAACATTCACTGCTCCTCGCCCCCCAAGAGCTGCCGATGGACTGCAAGGCCACGCCCATCACATCGAGCAGCGGCTCTAACAAGAGCCACGCCCATCTGCATCATCAGCTTCCACACCATCATCATCACCATCATCACGAGAATCACATAACGCCTTCGATTAGTCTAATACCCATCAAACAGGTGAGCAAATGATATCAGTGGATAAAATTTCCAATTAAATTTTGTATCTTCCTCTTTTAATTCATATTCGCAGGAGCCGGTGTCGCTGGAGGAGGCGGCGGCGGACAAGAAGGAGTCGCTGAATGGTGATGCCAATAGCGATACGGAAAGTGCTGCCAATAACAACAACAACAACAACAACAGCAGCAGCAATAACAACAACAACAACAATTGCAGCAGCAACAACAACAACAACAACAGAGTCACCTCATTGATCAAGGTAGATGAATATAGGGAATATGGAGGGTAATCGAGAGGGAATTACCTTCTATTAGATAATTCTAATAATGGGTATTCAAATGATATCAAATGAGTGCTTAAAGGGTGTTTGTGAAATAGTTTGAGAGCAATTGTATAAGAAAAACAAATCTGTTACTTAAAGTAGGCAGACAGCTACAAGCAATAGCTCTAAAACTGTAAAGTTCACTGGCAGCTAAAGCAAATTTGTGTAGCCTATGAGAGCAGTCAAGCGTGTGCAATTCAAACTGTAACAGGCTAAGCTGTGACTCCTAAACTGTTGTCTCTTTGAACATCACTTTGTAAACTGTGACTACTAAAATTGTGTGACCTTACACGGGGAAAATAAAATACAAAACTATTGATAATAGAATACAGTTGAAACACAATTCATCGGCTCTCAAACTGTAGTATTATATTAGTGATCTTGCTGGCTTGGGGTGGGCTAAGGGCGTTTGCTTCATTTCAGTTTTTAGTCTCCGTTTGAAAGTCACAAATAAAGTCAGGAAAGTCACAATTTATGAAGTCACATTCACATTTTAGAATCACTGTCACTTAAAGCAACAGTTTGAGAGGCTTTGTGCTTGGCTCTCATGCTGAGCGTTTAATTTGTCGTAGACGAAAACACTTTGAGTGGGACTTATGTCCAAGCCACGCCCACTGCAAGCACTCGCATTGATATCTAATTAGACTCTAATTGGATAATATATATAATACAGATGCACTCTTTAAGTTAGCGCGACTAAATAAATCATTTCTGTTCTCCCTAACCTTTTCTTATTCTTCTTCCTATTCTTTTGCACTCACTCTCCCGTTTACTATCTCTCGCTGCCTTGCTTCTTCTTTTCACTCTTACACTCTTCTCTCCTTTTCGTTCTTACACTCCCATTTACTCCTCTTTAACTCTCTCTCTCTCTTTCACTCTCTCTCTCTTTCACTCTCTCTCTCTTTCACCATCTCTCTCTTTCACTCTCTCTCTACCTCTGTCATTCATTTTCTGACTCTCTCTCTCTCTCTTTCGCTCTTTCGCTCTTTGTCATTATCGCTCTCTGTCAATTACTATCTTTTCTCTTTCTCTCTCTTTCACCATCTCTCCTTTGTCTTTCACTCATCATTTCTCTTCTCTCTTCTTCCACCTCTCCCCGCCCTTAGGTTTCGCCCTTGAAGTCACTTCTGCGTGAGGATCTGAAGCGTCGCATTTGCGCCAAGGCCAACAATCGCATCACCCGGAATGCCACGCCGCTGGAGCACGAGCTGCAGCAGACGATGCTGAATGGGGCGGGCGGTGGTGCGAGTGGCGCCTCGGTGGGTGGCAGCACGGCCAGCACGCCCACAACGCCAGCGGGCGGCACACACAACGGCAGCCAGAGCTCCACGCCCATTTGCAATGGGACGATCACGTCGTCCGGGCAGGAGAGCGACCTCCAGCTGAATCGGAAACTGATTCTCACCTGCCATTTCTGTGGCATCGAGTTCCCCGACGAGACGCTCTACTTCCTGCACAAGGGCTGCCACTGCGAGAGCAATCCCTGGAAGTGCAACATCTGCGGGGAGCAGCTCAACAATGTGTACGAGTTCAATGCGCATCTGCTTAGCAAGAGCCATCAATAGCAGCCACAGTTTGGCAGCCACTGACACAGTTTGGCAGCCAATTAGTTGAATAGTAGACGTAATAAGGAAAGATATATACATACATACATACATATATATGTATATATATGTATACAGAATTGCATATATATACAGTTTGACAGCCACTGATGCAGAAGACGTAGATATATCCAAACGTTGACAGTTTGAGTGCAATTGACAGCTTACGATAAATCTAGACAAATATGGGCAGAGGTACACGTATAGTAAACAACAGTTTGACAGTCACTGACAAAGAATATGCAACCAAAATAGAATAAACGCTTATCTTATGTTACAGTTTAACAGCCACTGACAGTCATCTTCTATGTAGAGGCAGAAGCAAAGAGATAGATCCAAGGCAAGAATTTGGCATGCGCTACAGTTTGACATTCACTGACAGCTGACACTCAACTTAACAGAATCTTCCATATTTTAAGCAGATATTAATCGGCTCTATATAAAGAAATTCTAGAAAAAACGTAGCTGGCACTGCAGTTTGACAGCCACTGACAAACGATATATCTAACAGCTCAATAAAGGCGGCATCAGTGCAAAAGAAGAAGAACAAGCAGCAAAGGGTGAAGAAATCAATAAATAATACACGCTAGTTTAAAAGTTTATTAAAAATAAAACAAAAAAACAAAAATGTTTATACAACATAAAAAAAAAAAAAAATACAAGAAACAATGAGAGCTACGTAGTTACCTAATCCCACACAAACAAGAAGAAGAAGAAGAGCAGCAGCAGCAGCTGAGAAGAAAAGTTGAGCAAACTCACAGTTTGAGAGTTCTTCAAAAGAGTTATCAATAGAGTTGATAGGAAGAACTAGAAAAAGTTATAAAACCCATGCGTAAATCCTGTTATGTAGTCTTAATTAAAGCAAATTTTTTAGTCTATAGTCGAGTGTAGGAAAGAAAAACAAAACAAGAAAAAACCAGTAAGGAAAAGAGAAGGCAATAAATTAAACAGCCAGTTTAACTGGCAGATGTTTTTAGTGCATGCCGCCAACGCCAGAGGGCGCTCTTCTTTTGTAAAACTTAGGCATTTCTTCGATATATACAAACAAGCAGCTAGACAAGACAACAGATATACATATATACAGATCAAATATATATATATAGGTATATATAGGTATACAGTCTATATAGTATGTCTGTGCACACTTTTGTCCATATACTTCACATATATTGACCATAACTAAGGGCTTTCAATTTGTTATTGTTTTTCAGAGTTTATCTAGGAACAATAAAACAAAAACAACAACAACAAAAACAACAACAACAATAAATTCAATTTAATTAACAGATATAATCTTTATATAGAGTATATATAGTATATAGTATATATGCAAATACTGAATATACACAGTTGTACGTTATAGCCAGAACACACTGTTTTAGCCAACACACACACACACACACAGATACAAACACACACACACCGAATTATTATACTCGTACCTTTTACTTAGCTACTAGTTAAACTAACTTATAAAAATTGATATATATATAGAGAGAGAGAGATCGATCTATCTATATATATCTCTCGATATCTATATAGATAAACTTAAGTCTACGAGAGAGAAAAAATTTGCGCTTTGCAAAAGTTCGCAACTTTTTTTCCAGCGTGAAAAATTTTCGCACAGTGCTGCTCAAAAAGATGACTACATGCGCATACAACAAACTGACACTGTGTCAAAAAAGTATACACACACACACATATACGTATGTATATATATGATACATATATATATATTTCAAGCAATTTTTATGTAACGAAATGCAAATGTGATACGAAATTGTTGTAAATAATTGGTAAAAAAAAAAAATGATAAAGTAGAAGAAAATGTGAAAAATTTTAATTTGTTTAAACTAGAAAAATCGAAAATGAAAAAGAAAAAAAAAATGATAATGAAAAACTATGCCTTAGATGCCTATATGCGATATACGAAGCACGTTTTGCGTATACACTGTACAAAATGAGAGTAAACTAGCATCTAGTTAACTTTAGTGTTTAAAAATCAAAATTGTGATCCTTAATGTTGCCCTCTCCCTCACACACCCGCACACACTGTACGCCTGTAACTACTCCCATACCCCTTACAACTGTCTCTATTCTTAATTAGGATTAAATACTTCCACTACTCCTATACACTACCCACACACTCCTACTAGATCCTCTACCCCTACGTCCCGTCTCCTTCCCTTACCCCTAACTACCTCTATTAGCTAAGCCAATCCCTCTCTCACGTTGCTAACATCGATCGGGTATAGTAGGCAGCCTCTTATTGGGCTGCCTTAACGTAAGTCTTTTAATCAAAATTGTGATCCTTAAAGATGTCCCCTACCTACACCCCTACTTGAGAATATCTGTCCTGAGCAAAGCTGCCCTCAGCACCGCCCCTCATTGACATCACTTGCTAGCTGACTTAACTGAACTTTAGTTTCCAAAATTCAAAATTTTGATCTTGAATGTAGATCTTCCACCTACTCTACGCCTAAAAAGCTAACAGTCCCCCAGCTAAGCTACCCCTATATCTTATCTTATCTTATGCAGTTTGAGTTAAATTAACTTTAGCAATGCTTTCTAGAACCTTGCCTTGCCTAAAATTTTACCTCTTTGGTCCTACTACCCTTAACTAGGACCCCTCTAGCCCACTTTTTGATCTCTCCCTCGCGTTCTACTTTTCGACTTCATTTCAGTTTCACTCCGAAGCTTGTGATCCATCAACTAAAAACCTCCAACTTCCCTCCTTAACTATCCGCCCCTCTACTAACCTAACTCCCTTCACCCCCTTCTCTCTCGCCCCTCTTTGACATCACTCGGGGGTTGTATGCAGCCTCTCGCTGAGCTGCTGTGCGCCAATTTTTTACACTTCAGATTTAACATCCGTCCATGAGGTTCACAAAAGCAAAAAAAAAAAAAAAAAAAGATTAAAAAAAAAAAAAAATACAATTTCTAGAGTTCAGAGATCTAGTAGCAAAATATATATAAATAAATAAATAATAATAATTAATTTAAACTAATTAAATTTGTTATATAATTACTAAATGTAAAACTTTTTTATATGAAGCAAAAATTGTAAATTTGGGTTTATTTTTAATTCTTATAAATTTAGCTTTAAAGTTATATTTGTTGTTAATTTTGTTTATAGCACAGTCAACGTTTTTGGCAGGGCCTGCAGCACTTGCATTTTACACACACACACACACACACACATACTTGTACACATACTTACACACATACCTGTAGCAAATATTGTAAATGGTTTTTATATATAAACATACATATATATATCTTTATCTATATATATATATATTTAATATTTTTTTTGCTGTTGTGTTCACTTAATTTTAATGCTCAATTTAAATTTTTCTGAAAATATTAATTAATTATGCATAATTTTAAGCTTTGTTTTTATTTTTAAAGACACAAAACTTTTACATAAACTTGTTAATTAGATTATGAACAAATTGTTATAAAAAGGCGAAATATTAATTAATAATATTTAATGCAAAATTGTGGCTGGGTTTAAAACAAATACACAAATCAAATAATAAATTGTTTTAACAATTAAAAACAAATGGAAAAAATCAAAAACGTTTAACGTTGAACGCAACAATTGAGCAATTTTTTTAGCTGAACTTTCATGTTGAATTTTTAAATAGATTAATACTATAAAAAATATAAGAAACAAAAAAAAAAAAACAATTAAAGTGGCTAAGAAAGGTAACAAAACATTTACTTAATTAGTAATTATAATAATAGCTAAAACAAAATCAAACAAACAACAACAATAAAAGGCATGTTAATTTTTTTTAAAATAAAAATGGTTTAAAACAGAAAAAACTGGTCGAAAATTTCATTTAAAAATGTATAGAAATTGGTAATGTTTTCAGATTGCAGATTCTTTTACATATGCTGATTATGTTACTTGTGGGTTATGTTAATTTGTTCTACTTCACTATGTTAAAGTGCTGTTGTTGTTAACGTTAACCCTACAGTCAAGTGCTTGCGTTGACGTACTAAAAAGTCGTAGACAAAAGGAAATAAATTCTTATAAAACTTAACAGCAGTTCTTCCAAGTTTCTTATGTTAGCGTAACATAGCTAACAGCTGTATGGTTAACGCTTGCTAGCTATGTTAAATTACATAAGGACTTACATAAAATGTTTAGAACATTTTTAGTACATAGAAATTCCATCAAGTTCACAGCAGCTCAGAACTGTTCACAGCTGAACTACTTGCTTTGCACTGCTTTACAGCTTGCAAGCAGCTTAAGCTGCTCAATGCTGATTGGCTAACGCTAGCGGCGCCAATGGCAGAGTCGCAATCAACACAGTGGGGCAGCATGCGTTAAACTGGCAACGAAATCTGTTGTACATAAGCAACTGCGCAGGCGCTAAAAATAGTGCATCATATGAATAATTTTATATGTATGTGTATATATGTATATGTGTGTGTATTATATATGCGCACTTACACATACACACGTAGAGATCCATCAACATATTGCATAAATGCGTAAAATCTAAATATAACCTTTTGAACTGTCATGAAAAATGTATGAAAGTTGTTGCTGCATCGTTCACGTTGAGTGCTGTGCTTTAAGTTGTAGCTGCTGTCTATTAAATACCCTATAATTTATTGCATATTTGTGCATACATAATGCGCTGTCATAAGTTAAGGCAGAAAATTGCTGATGTTTAGTGCATAAATAATACCCTGTATATAGAGTGATTTAAGGAGTGATTTATACCCTGAATATATTGTGCAACAAGCATTGTGCATTCAAAATATCTTTAATTTAACAATACTTTACAACTCTTAAAAAAACAGTGAATATTATTAATATTTATAATTAAAGTTGAATATTTGAGTATACATTTTTGTTATTCTCTTAATACCCTATAAGTGTAGTCTTTGATTTTTAGTGCAATTATAACAATTCATGTTTTACTAATAATCCTTAAGTAATATCCTTTCCATATGTTAGCTTTATGACAGAAATACCCTGTAATTTATTTAAGCAATATATTAAGGTTATATATTTTCACGCAAAAAGCCTGAAGAATATTTCAATAAATAGGCAATATGTTATACACTTGATACAATATCATTTTCTATCACTACTTTAATTGCTTTATTTTTCATTCAACTGCATACCCTGTAAGCTGAGCTGACAACGTAAAGAGTTTTGGCTTGCTTTCAATATGTATTAAACGTATTATAGTTATACTATATCTCTTCTGGCTGTGTATGCGTGTGTCTGTGTATATGCTTGTATATGTGTGTGAGTTCGTTCCATGGCAGTTTCCACTGTATATCAATGTCGGCAGTGAATGAAAATGTCTTTGCGTTTTAGCCTTTTAGCTGAGGTCATTTGGCAAAGCCAGAGGCTTTAGCTGCTAATGCAGTTGTTGTTGTTGTTGTTGCTGCTGCTGCTGCTGCAACTGCAGTTGTTGTTGTTGCTGTTTGGCTTAAGCCATAGCCTGTGCATGGGCAAAATTTGTTTGCAGTTTTGTTTGCGATTTAGAGGATAATGCGCCATAAAGCCAAAAATACGATTGACTGAGCAGCGGCTGCAACTAATAGGGAAACGCAGAGACACGGGCTATGGACAGGCAGCGGATGTAGGTTAGAGAGAATAGAGGGTAGCTACGGCAGCAGGGGTAGTTCGGCCAAGGATAATGCATTGAGCTAGATCTTTGTTTAAGCTGGCAAAATAGGCATAAAAGCAACATCAATATTTACAGCAGATATGAGATGAGATAAAGGAATATATATACCTATATGAATATACACATATATATATGTGTATGTGTGTGTGTGTCTGGCTGACTGGCTCGCTGGCTGGCCTTTAACAATCTGCCTGACAAATCTTTCAATGAGACGATTAACACCTTTTAAATATGTCAT